ATGTAAAGACCGGATTTTATGCAATTGCATATTTTATGCATATTTTGCATATATCTTCAAATTTGGTCATTTAATGCATATGTAGGATTTCTTTGCATATCTTGCATATTTACGTTATTTTTTCTATTTTGGAAAGTAGAAATAAAGAAATTTTGTTGTCATTTACTTATCATGGGCATTCGGACAGGTAGGTAGTTTAATACCTACATAAAGCCATAAAAGTTTAAACCCAATAATAATTAATTATAGATTAAATATTTAAAATAGTTTAATACCTACATAAAGCCATAAAAGTTTAAACCCAACAATAATCCAAAAATATTCAGGTAAATATTAATAGATTTTTATAGCTTTGTTAAGCTGAGGTTTGAATACCTACTATACCTCTACTATAAATTATTTTCATCCTTTTTGAAATTACTAGTATCAGTGTGGTTGCAGTAGTTCGAACACCTAAAGTGTGCCCAAACAAAGTGAATGTGAATTACGTAGCGAACATGCCAAAAATTCAAAGTGCCTCGTGGATTAAACCGTATCCAGAACTTATTTTGGATGGCGATCGCATTTTTTGCAAGGCTTGTTCAAAAATTGTTTCCTGCTCGAAGAAATTCCAAGTAGACCAGTCCACATTTCTAAGGCTAACAGAATCAAATCGGGTCCTGTTCAGTCAACGTTGAAGCAAGCTGTGGAAGTCAGCAGTAATCAACACCATGTGCAAACCAAATTTAATGAAGATTTGTGCAGAATGTTTTTGGCTGCGAATATTCCTCTCCACAAGATGACCAACCCTCAAGTGAAGGCATTTTTGCAAAAGTACTGCAAATTTAACACTCCAGATGAATCTACATTAAGAAAAAACGTTGTTGGAAAGGTATATGCTTCAGTGATAGAAGAAATTAAGAAAGAAATTGCAGATAACACATATATATTATTTTTGACGAAACAACTGATGCTTGCGGTCGTTACATAGCTAATCTAATGATTGGAAAACTCTGAAGAACCTGGAAAACCTCCTCTTATAGCAGTAAAAGAACTTGAAAAAACAAACAACCTAACAGTTACCCGTTATATTCAAGAAACATTAACACATTTCTATCTGCCACATCCAGTCCCTACAGATAAAGTTCTTATTCTGTTGTCCGATGCTGCGCAGTATATGTTAAAGGCAGGGCGGAATATAAAAATGTTTTATGAAAATTTAATTCATGTAACTTGTCTAGCCCATGGGTTCGGATTGCAGAGACCATTAGAACTTCCTTCCCATTGGTCAATGATTTAATTGCTAATGGGAAGAACATTTTTTTAAAGGCCCCATTAAGAGTGCAGTTTTATAAAGCGTATTTACCTGAAACACCATTACCACCTGAGCTTGTTGTCACCAGGTGGGGCACCTGGATTCGAGTCGCAAATTTTATGCAGATAATTTCCAAAAATTTAAAGAGTTAGTTTTACAAATTGAAGATGATTCCCAATCCATTCAAAAATGCAAACAACTTCTTCAAAATTCTGAAATTGAACAGCAATTGATTTACATTAAATGTAACTATAGTTTTGTACCAGAAAGTATTTTAAAATTAGAAGGAACGTCTAAAAGCCTGCCAGAGTCAATAGATATAGTAGAAAAATTTATATATAATTGTATGCAAGTGCGAGGTGAAGTAGGAAAGGCCGTAGCTACAAAGTGAGAAGGGGTAATTGAAAGAAATCCGGGTTATAATGTTTTAGTTCAGGCTTCAAATGTAATGTCCGGTATAACTTTAGAATATTTGGATATTGAACCGGCTTTAATTCCAAACTTAAAATTTTGTCCTGTAACTTCGGTTGATGTAGAAAAATCATTTTCTTTATATAAACATATTCTTAGTGACCGAAGGCATAATTTTATAGTAGGAAACCTTGAAACACATATTGTTACTAGTGCATTTTACAATATTTCAGATTGATCTTGTAGTTTAGTATTAAGTTACGTTTATGCATATTATTTGTACAATAATGTAAACTATGTAATACATGTTTAAAATTCGTTTAGTTGTTTATTTTATATCCTATTGCTTACAATTTAGTGAAAAATATAATTTTGCCAAAGAAAAGCCATGGAATTAGTCTTTGCATATTTCATGGTGCTTTTGCATAAATCATGCATATATTTAAAAAATTGTATGCATATATATGCGCATATTACAAAGTTTTTTGATTGCATATAATCCGGTCTTTACATATAACTCTATAATCATACTATATCTCCCACGTATTGAGATTAGCAACATAGCACTGCATTATTATCAACATCAACTCACCGTCCATCTCTGATTGTCCTCTGCATTTTTAATGGATAAAGGTAATAGATATTGTACTGCTTTTAAATTTCCGTTATTTGCGGCAAACATTAAAGCCGTCATTCTCTTCCTGTTTATCTCTTTAACGTTGGCACCATTCTCGACAAGTTGCTTTATTACTTCTAGAGATTTTTCAAACGGTGACGTGGTGTTAGGACAATTGCATGCCATCATTAGAGCCGTACATCCATCTACAAAACAATGTTCCTTTGAATGTTTGTCTATCAAGATAAAATTAATTCTAGGTTACCCCTATCTAAATTTACATTTGCTCCTTTGTTTATAAGTTCTTTGATAAGATCTGGATTTCCTAAAGAGGCAGCTAAGAGTAGCGGTCTCCATCCATCTTCTACATTAACATTAACATCTAAACCTGAAACATACTTTTTGTTTTAACATTTTAGGTTCATTCCTCCATTACACACCACTGTCGATGTATTCAACAACACTCTGTACATTTCCACTTAATAAAGCACTAAACAGTAACTTTAAATCTTGGTTTTTCTGTTCTTGACAATTAGTTTGAGGTTTTAGTCTTTGTTTGTTAATCTTTTTAACTTGTTCCTTAAAGTTGTGATAATCGCAATCATCAGACAGTGCACTATCATCACTACCTGATAAATCTGCACAATAAGCCATTACGCAAATAAAATTAGCTTAACTTCGAGGAAAAAAATTGTAAAGAAAATCTTAAATTCACAAAATATGTTTAGTAAGGTTATGTGTAGAGAGCGGACAATGTGTGTCTTTAACCCGAAGAATAGGTCAAATTTTGGTAGA